GACGCGGCTCGCAGCGGTGCGCGCGCGCATTTTCTCTTCGGGTTTTGTAGTAACGATCGGAAACACGGTTTGAAGTTAATGAAAAATACTGTTTTTGTGATATAGTGGTAAAATTATATGTCATTTGTATTGTTTTCAGTTATTTGAATTTACGATTCACTTAGGTTTTTTTAATATCTAATATTTTATTCTTAATTAGGTAACTTAGCTATGATAAGGATTATTACTACAGTAAACAAATGTTTCGAATATGAAGTAAGTTCTCTCGGACACAAAAATAAAAAAAACAATGTCAATTTTACTACTGCGTCCTTACTTTTCATTCGTGTAATTAGTTAATTATATAATTGTGATGTTAGTGTCATCAGCATAAAGATTTGTGGTCAATTAATGGATCCATTAAAAATAAATCTTCAGACAAATTATGCAACACATTTTATACATATTCACGTCTTTTTGTTTACTATCCACTCAGCATTATATTATACACTCAGCATATGAGCTGATCTTCCGTTAGGCTACAAACTTTAACAAACATCCATCCATCCACCTAAACTTACACATTTAGTAAGATTTAACTGCAAGTTGTCGCACATTTCTGTTCAGTGTTATATTTGGTATATAGTTAAATTTCCTTTTCTTTAAATAATATCTGTACACATGAAAAATACAAAACGTTCACTCTGGTTTATGAATCAGACAGTCAACAGTTCTCTACATTCACATATTTAAAACGCACAAATACTTTACATTATTACTCGTAAATACATATTTTATAATATATGTATAATAGGAATTTGAGGAAGTTCTTAATTACGTCATAATCATAAATGCAACAAACATTCCCTGCATTCAAAGGGTAATGTAATTGTTGACTTGAAAATCTTTCTATAAATATTATCAGATGGCTTAGACATTACAACAATTATGCTTAGGATCATTATCACGAGTACAGGATTTCATTATTTAATATTTGTCTTTCATTTGTTACTGTACATTTTATGTGTTAAAAATTGAGCATACATCAATTTTTTTATTACTAAGGTTTATTTGAATTATGAAGTAAGGCACAAACTTTTCTATATTTTATTTCTGGTCTCTCTTAAGAAATAACTTATACCTCTTAAAGTTAAATAAATTGTATTCGTAGAAAAATTATCCTCGTCTGTTTTCTGTAAGAAAACAAAATAGTCAGTGATTAATGTCATTAATATAATGACAGCTTCAAATTAACAATATAATGTTATAACTGGTGACTGTGTAGGTCAGTGGAAACGTTGTAAAAGTATATATTTATTGAATATTCAAATAGCTGGATGACTATCAACTTTAATCGCTTAGATTGGGTGGAAACTCAATTATTGAATAACTACATTTTATCGTATAGAGTTATTTAATTGATTACAAAAAAAAATAATTCGCATAAGACACGTCGACATGCAATAAAGACACTAATGATAGAGAATTGTCTGTTTCACCTATACCTTTAAGAAATAGGAATATTTTAAATGAGTTTAAAGGTTTTTTTTTCTATATATGATTATAATAAAATGACTATAACGAGAAGTATGATTAAAATAACATATCCAGCCCTAAGCACCGCGGTAATTGCACAGAATTAACTTTTTGTCATAATCAAGTCTTACAATGATTGTTTCAACATTACGACCACGCCAAGGTAGCTAACATTCCATAAAGAAAAAGTGTAAACTACAAACTAACATAACACATTTTTAAATTTGAAGATTAACAGTAATTTTAGGGTTATAAGATTTAGCTCACGAACTACACTTGTATGTTGTAGTTAATGTGTTTTATTATAAAAGTCTATGTTGATAGCAATGCGACATATTCGCAATCTGAAAAGTACAGCGGCAACACTTCTCTCGCTGACAGTTGATTTACAAATCATTAAATGGTTGTCCAGTGAGCAAAGCACAGCACAGTACAGTTTAAAGTCAAAGTATTTGCCATAGTCCATCTTTTTTAATATACTTTGATACTATAATAACTAGGTTAGCGTTTCCGTCTCAGTAGTTATTTGCTTTAGTTTTTATTTAAGCCGAATCATAAAAACGAATAGCCAATATATTTGTCGGTTTTCCCTCTTTTCATCACGTACGTAAGAATTTGTTAGTTGCTAGTCCCGACCTACTTTAATGTCACCGATTGAACGATCTAATAGATCATTTGAACGTGATAATAAGTGCTAATTAGATCCACACGTTTCCGACGTATTTAGCTGTTGTAATTATAGCAATTTGCATTACTTGTGTTAGAAAACATTATACAACCACACCCTTGTTCCTTTGTGAATCCGATGAAAAGAGTGTTTCTTCAAATGTTTTTACCTTGTTAAATTACTTGTCGTATTCATAAATTCGTTTTGAGACGTAAGTCACGACGTTTCTTTCAAACTGCAGTAATGACTTATGGTTATTTACAATGGGGACCGTAAAACTTTTAAAGTTAGCGCGGTCCGGCGCAGAGACGTAGGCAGTGATTAATATTATTATAACTAGATAATTTTGCACACTCCATACTTAATTTTTCTAAGATAATTTAAGAAATTATCTGTCTTTAAAAACGCAAAACATAGTTACTTACATTGTAAATATGTTTTGTAGTCAAGTTTCAAAACTAAAATGCTTATCTGTGTCAGCATGGAAATGTAGTTTTTATGAGCACAAGTTTTATGTGCAGTTCATATAAGTTTTATCGCGGTCGTTTTAAAACTTGTGAAGTTGTATATTTTAATTATTGTCAATCTTAAAATGGGCGAGCAGGAAAACAAATTATTTTACATACAGTCAGATTAACTCCCCGCGAGATTTCGGTGTTCAGTTATTTCGGCAATGTCAAACTAAGGCTTTCTTACTATTATTATAAATGCGAAAGTTTAGGTGGTTGGATGTTTGTTAGAGTTTGTAGCAAAAACTGCTGAACGACTTCGTTGATATGAGATGATAGATAGGAGGATAAGGACGAGGATTTGTTTTTACTAATTCGACGCGGACCCATGCTTTAAATTCCATAGTTACTGTTTAAGCCACTGAACATCTAAGTTCTGATCTAGTTAAATGTTACTATGATTGAATGTGGCAGAGGCAGAGGCAGTGGTAGTGGGGGGTATCGGTTTGCGGCAAACATCCGTCATTTTAATATAACAATTCCTGCGGCGCTAACGAACATGCGGCGATGTCTGTTTGTACATCACGACGTGGCCGCTACAATTAGACCCTTCCGGTATTCACCGCGGCTATTGTTACCTTGCCAATTAATAAGTTTTAACTGTTACTCCACGTGTCGCTTCTCGCTCTACACTTTTATTGAAATGTACTAAAATACATAACGATTTATTGATATCAGTTGTAGCAAATCACATTGGTATAGTAAAAGATGAAATAATATGAAATAAACCACAAAACCAGACGGTGATTTTCAGGCAGTCGAATCGTGAATATAAATTTAGCATTAATTTAAATACATCAACCTTATACTTTACTGTTGTGTTTGTTGTTGTATTATAACACTGAAATTCTATTTTGAGTTTAATCGTTTACAACACACACATACAACCCCGATTGCATGCAATTTATGTACCATACTAGTCCATAAAGGCCGTTGTGCATGGACACAACTTCACTGCCGCTGCTTCAGCATTGGAATTCTTATATGAGACATTCACACGTTATAATAGCGCAGGTAAACAAAATATCTTCTAGTAGACGATATCGGATACGCCAGGCCGGCATGCTATCGTGCGGCACACATCCGAAGTGCAGGTCGGCACGTACGGCCGTGTAACACTACACTATTGTTTACTTACTCTTCTCAGAACAACACATCGGACTACGATACTTTAAAGTGCAGTTGTTGATAGTTTTATACTTCACACTTATTGCGTACTATTGATTTGTAGAGCTCATTATGTGTTCAAGAAAGCGAGTTAGTTTGAAAATCCATGCTAAAACTGTAAACTTTACTGCTCGTGGTAAGCGTATTCGGTGCCATGTGTGGGGGTCAGTACGGCTAATATAGCTCTTGAAAGTTTTATGTGGTAACCTTTGCAACCGAGAGAGGTGGGCGGAGATTAAGAATTTTCATTTGGCAAGGTCCTGGCACTTTCGCTTGGATGATATAAACACACAAAACATATTATAAAATCTGTTATAAAATAAATAGTTTCATAAACTTATACAGGTTGAGTTTTTTATTTTCTAATAATACTTTCTAAGTACCTACTACTTTCTAATTTTGGTATAGATGTAGAATATAGTCTGGAAGAACACACTTGTGTTTTTGTTTTAATTCCACGCGGACGGAGTCGCGGACGAAAGCTAGTTTATCAATAAATATGATAGGTGTATAAATCTATGAGATTGGGCGATATGTCACGTTCAAAATAACTGGTTTTATCTGGATATATCAAGATATGTCTATCACAAGAGACGTTTGTACTTCTGTAAGTACTCTCTTTAAATTGATCATGATAAATACTTTCTATAAATACTATTTGGTTTTATTGCTAATTAAAAGTACTTTTCTTGACTTGATAGGTTTATTTGATTGGAGTTTGTGATCTTCTATTAATAAAATAAGGCTCTGTACACACTGTATTAGATTTATTCATACATCTTTAAACCAAATTTAATGCTCTGATTTTTTTTACAATAAATCATTTAAGAAGTGGGTAATCTAAGCACTAATTTTCGTACTCGATTCTAGAAAGTAACAATACGACCGTCTGTGAGATCCGGTCTGAACCGGTTCGAAGCGGTTCATTCCAGTTTCGCGGCCATTGACCCACGTTTTTACGTTGTGTCTGTTAAACTTTGAATACTTTAACAATGATATTTACTTAACTTTAGCATTTTTCGTATTTTTTCCCCCAAATTTCAACACTTCGATCTAGCCTAGGGTCTTTTTATTTTAGTGCTACTTTTTAAGGTTACTTTTTTTTGGGAGAACGTTCTACTGAAATATAATGTTTTGTTAAGCATTTTCCATGAACAATATAAACTTAATATTGACGTCACATTGCTGTATTGTGTAAACATAAACCTGCTTTCCATGAGATAAGATACGCTATCTATAATGAAGGGATAAACGATACTGCTGAACTGCTTATTTAACTTAACACTGGACCCGACTAGAAATATATCCAGTCTATCTAATATCGCTGATTGAATTCTGGTAATAAAAACATCTAACCAACAGAGCCGAATTAATTAAAGTTTATTTAGAAAAACTTTGTAAACTTTACGAGTGCTTTGAAATTCAATAACAAAAGTGCGAATGTGACAATGCAAAATGGCGGATTTCCTCACGAAACTTAAGAGGCTAGGTAGGGGAGGTGCGACAGAGACGAACAGTATATATTCGATGGTGTCATGCAGTGACGTCACGCCGGGCAGCCTGGAAGTCTGGCTTGATCTGCCCGATGAGATCAAATACGACCCCTCTCTAGCGCCCTTCAAGCAGCTTTACGAACAGCGACATGGTACGTACTCATTTGATAGTAGTCACTCTTAATTAACAGGGCAGTAAGATGTTCATTGGCAGGGCGCATTTTTTCTCTCGATAGGAAAATGTAACTGTTGTTATACTTGACAATATGTTTATCATAAATCCTAGTCTGCTATACATGTTTAAGAGTTATTAAGGTGCGTACAGATTGAGGTTATGCGGTGTAATGTTACGAAGTGTAACATTGGCATCAACCGCTACGTGGTTTCCCCGTAACAATGACCGCATGAATGCTCGCGTAACATCGGCCAGTAGAGACCTTTAGATGTTTTATTGGATTCATAGTTAAATCGCTGATAACAATTTAATGATTGTTGAAGGCAAGTTGGAGCGATCAGAACAGCACACGGAAGGAGACAAGACGATCGGCAATGGAAAGACAACGGATAATTGTACACCGTCTGACAACGGGAATGAGGTCACCAAAGACTGTGAGAATGGGTGAGGGGAATAACCTAACTTACGATTTTTTAATATTTAAAATAGCGATAAAAATGCAATAAGGAAAAAATGTCATGCATGTGCTGCCGCTATAAGGTGAAAATACTTGTATTTCACTTACTTTAATGTTAATTACTCATTTGGTTATAAGAGATAAACTAATATGAATTTTCTGCTTGCTCTTTTTTCTGTCATGATTATTTGATCGTACTTGTACGATCAAATAAACCAATCCATCGATAACAGGAATCCGTACGGGACACTGTCGACATTGACGGCTAATAATATGGATTAAAAAAGCCTATTTTAATCGTAAGCCTTAATCGGCTTAGTTATATGAGTTGCGCGTTTATGTTATTAAGTAACCACGTGACAGACAGACGGACAGACAAACAGCCAGACAATGACAGTAAGGCGCAGGCAGATAGTTCCACAGTTCGAGACGTGTTTTGTTTGTGTTAGTTGCTCATTTACTTTGTCTGTTAATTTTATTTCATTTGTTCAGATTAATGGACCAGATGATACCAGAAAAAGAAAAGAAGATCAAATCAAAGAAAAATAAGCAGGTAAGCATTTTTTTGGAGTTATATTGGAAATTAACTATCTTTATTAGATTGATTAGATTAAAGTGATCTGACAAAGTTAGCTAAGGCCACAATATGTGGGAGGAAACGAAAAATCTAGCAAGATCCTATAATCAACAGATAAACCGCATACTGCGTGTAATCAAGCTGGGCTCGCTGGTGGCCTGCTGGGGCCTGCTGACCGTCTCCTTGCTGCTCAACATGGAGACCAGCGACGTGGTCCTCCATACTGCGGTGGAAGCCGGTAGTGTTAAAGGTATATTGAATGTTACTAAATCTGTTATCATTCCTCGTTATATCATGACCTTCTGATGTGTATTTTGTCTGATGTTTGACTAGTTTGCAGACTGCCAAAGATGTCGTACTGGCTACTAAGAATGTTAGATTTTTGCATGGAGTTGTAATTAAACATGACTGTCACCTGTTTATTTATCTAAATTAACATTTTTCGATTCGTGTTAATCGCCGAAATATCACATAACATGTATGTTCAGTATTTATTGTAATTAAACATGTCTCTTTTTCATGAAATTGTAAATATTTATACAGAATATGAGCTCATGAGCGCGTCCGAGACGGAGAAGGTGTTGGTGACACTAGCCGGTCCATTTGAGGAAGCGGCCACCAATGAATCTAACAGTCTTCTATATCTCTGTCTGCGAAAGACTTCTAATAGAAGGATTGAACAGGTAAGTTGAACCAGGTAACAGCTTTTAATTAAACTATACAATAACGAACACCTTATGTTTTCTTGTTATGAATTGTTTTCTGCACCGTCCTTTAGTATTATTTTGCTACAAACCATTCATACATAAAAGGCTTATAAAATTAATAATTTCGACATAAAATCATTTGCTTCGACCTCGAAACAAGTGTACCGAGTACGTGCGTAGTTTGCTGATCACAAAGTTGTAAGTGAAACCGTGATACAGTCGTAAACAAAAGTGTTACACGAACATGGCGAAACACTATGGTTACACCATAGGGCGTTTATTAATTTTAAATGAGTTAAACCCTACAATAATTATTTGCATAAGTGTTTGTGCAAACTGATATTTAAGAACATATTTTAGAGATAATTGGTAAATTGGAACTTTTTTCTTTTTAAAAGTAAGAATAATTAGGTAGGCAAGAAAATGCAGAAAACTCAAAACATGTTAATTTCATTTCTTAAAATTAAGGAAAGTGAAAAAGAACACTGCAAGAAATTCTACTGTCTGAAGTGGTCTAGTTAAACATTAACCTTGTCGTATTATTAACCTCTTGGTTTTCGTATCAGAATTCGAGCGTGTGGACAGTGCGCTTGAAGGCAGACGATGTAATGGACTTCTCAGCCAGCTCCTCCGACGCCAGGATACTGCAGCTGCTACCCATCGCCCCCCATCACGACATCAACGAATCTCGCGACTACAAACCAACGAGACCGAGCGATTTTATAAGAAACAATCCTCTCGTGGAAGACAATGGTAAACATAATAGTAACAGCACGGAGCATGTATACATGTTAGGATATAACATGAATTTATTCGAACCGAACTCTATCGTGTGTATACCCTTAGTATTAAGTAGTCAGCCAATGTATGTGTGTGTTCTTACAGTCTATGACTAGAATTAAATTTGAGACAAACATAGAACATAGTCTGTTCATCATCCAGATCCATTATGCCGTTTTGGAAGATACGTTTTACATACGTTTTACATTCATTCATCCAAACTTTCTCATTTATAATCTTAGTATAATTGAGTCTCTGCACTGTTCTGTAAAGAAATCTCTATTCTACTCGTATAACTGTTTTGACACTAATGTTTGAAGTCGTGTTATAATTTTACAATATATTATTATGATGTTGTACTTTGTTAGATTCAAAAGTAAGGTTATGTGTGTGGAGTACGAGCAACAACACGGTGCCTATTACTGTCAGCTACCACGCGGACCCTATCTCCGAGGAGGACGGCATCGTGTACGCCACGCTGCTGCTCGCCTCCTTGTACATACTTATTATATTTGAGGCAAGTAACATTTATTATGAAAAAACACTATACGTAACTGTTGTAAAACTCTCAATGTTATACAAGACCATCATGTATTTTGCTGCAGGTGGTGAACCGAACTATAGCGGCGCTTCTGTCGTCGTCGCTGGGCATAGCGGTGCTGGCGCTGGGGGGCGCGCGGCCCTCGCTGCCCGAGCTGGTCTCCTGGCTGGACGTAGAAACACTGCTGCTACTCTTTAGCATGATGCTGCTGGTCGCCATCCTCGCGGAGACCGGTCTCTTCGATTACCTGGCCGTGCTTGCATTTGAGGTTAACTTCGTGAATTATATCTAACAGTGTGAGCCGTAAACGTTAGTGGTATTACTTATCAAAGATGTGCGTCTTCACTCCAGTTATTCAAATAGTTGACCATTTCAGGTGACAGGAGGCAGGACGTGGCCGCTTATCAATTGCTTGTGCTTCTTCACTGCCTTCTTCTCCACGTTTCTTGATAATGTAACGACGGTGCTTTTGATGACACCTGTAACAATAAGGTAAATCCCGGGTTTTAATATTTTTGTGTGATAGCATTAAACGAGTCTAGAAGATCTTGTTTTCTAATGTCTCATGAATGGTATATGACGATACCTGATGCAGGCTGTGCGAGGTGATGCAACTGAACCCGGTGCCGGTGCTGATGTCGATGGTAATCTTCAGCAACGTGGGCGGCGCGGCCACGCCCGTCGGAGACCCGCCCAACGTCATCATAGCCAGTCATCCCTCTATACTACACGAGGTATCTATCACGAATTACATAAACGAATGTTTGTCTCGTTTAATCAAACATATGTAAAATCCGATTCATGTATATGTGAATTTATAATAAACAGAACATAAACTTCACGACGTTCACGCTGCACATGGGCGCGGGCATTCTGCTGGTGGCGGCGCAGACCTACCTGCAGCTGCGCTACATGTTCCGAGACATCAACGCGCTGCGCCACACTGTGCCCAGGGACATACAAGGTGGATGATCGTCAAACGATATCATGTCACTTGGAATTTACTTGTTTGTTAGTTGTTGTAAGTGTGAGCAACGTTGTTGTCGGTCAGAGCTGCGGCAGGAGCTGGCGGTGTGGCGGCGCGCGGCGGCCTCGCTCGCCTCCTACTCGCGCGACGAGGACATCGTGCGCAGAGCTCTCGAGAAAAAGGTTCGCACTTTGTAATTATAAACTGGTTAGTTACTTTCATTAAAAGTTACTTTTCATTCGTGCAATCGTTAGTCTATTAATTTTATAGCGTGGCTGTATTGTTTCAGTGTATTTCGTTTTTTTTTTTACTATGGCACTTCCATTCGTACAGTATTCAGCCTGTATCCAGAGGCTCGTATCGTCATTGATAAATTGAACTTTTTAGGTACAGAAACTGCACGCTACCTTGCAGAAGCGCGAGTCCGGCAACGGCAGGTCCAAGTCCGATCCTCTATTCTGTTCTACTCTGGCGCAAATGAAGCAAAAGGTGAGTTCAATAAATACACAACAACATAACAGATAACAGATTTTATGTTTTTTGTTCTTTTGTAAATCAGGACTGGTTAGTTCAGGGTCAATTTCAGTCAATTTTAACTTAGTTCTTGTTAATAATGTTTATGTGTACGATAATTTGAATATTGTTACCTCCAGTACCGCATCAGAGACAAACCGCTGCTTGTCAAGTCTGCGGTGTGCGTCGCCTTCGTCGTCGTCGTCTTCTTCCTGCACGCTATTCCGGAGCTACGTGAGTATTTCATTCCAACCCCACAAATTATATAAAACTGTATACCACTCACCTACTTTGAGAACAAACTCGGGTCCGTGGCTACAAGTGGCGTGTGTCGTGTGCAGAGCGGCTGTCGCTGGGCTGGACGGCGCTGCTGGGCGCGCTGCTGCTGCTGCTGCTGGCGGAGCGCGAGGACCTGGAACCGGTGCTGGCGCGCGTAGAGTGGTCCACCCTCCTCTTCTTCGCAGCGCTATTCGTGCTCATGGAGGTGATGACATTCACACTAAAAGCAAACATTCTAATTCCCTACTAAGAGATAAAGGACGTCATGGTTCACCCGTAACTTACCAGTCGGGTTTCATTTTTTTTGGCTACTTCGTTTCCAACATATAATGCTAAGATATATACTTATTGCATGTTTGACAGGCGCTGTCTAAGCTGGGTCTCATATCCTGGATCGGCAGGATGACGGAGTCTCTCATCCTTCAAGTCAACGAGGAGTCTCGTCTTACCGTCGCGCTCCTACTCATTTTGTGGGTGTGTATTCTCCAGAGCTTGATTTCCACATTTCTCTGATAAACATGTACCGCAGAGATAGAGTTTAAGAATTTATTCATGGCAGAAAGTTACTATATCTCTGAATGACTCGGTTGCTTAAGAGTATATCTTTGAGGTGGTTGCAGGTGTCTGGGGTGGCGTCGGCGTTCGTGGACAACATCCCGCTGACGACGATGATGGTGCGCGTGACGGCGGCGCTGAGCGCGCCCTCCGGCCTCGCACTGCCGCTGGCGCCGCTCGCCTACGCGCTCAGCTTCGGCGCTTGCCTCGGCGGTCAGCCACACACACATTACATACACATACTCCTTTTGTCATTGCCAGCAAATCAGCACGCGACTTGTCACTTAAGTGACCAACGCCATTATCTGTATTTGGCGCAGTAAAAAGACATGCCGATGCGGGATTTAAAAAATAATTAGTATGGAAGCTAAGGCATACAGTACGGCTGTACATTGTACGTATGTTTATTCGCAGGCAACGGCACTCTGATCGGCGCGAGCGCCAACGTGGTGTGCGCCGGCGTGGCGGAGCAGCACGGCTACCGCTTCTCTTTCCTGCAGTACCTCAAGGTGGGCTTCCCCATCATGATCGGCAACCTGATAGTCGCCTCCGTCTACCTTCTCTTCTGTCACAGCATCTTCCAGTGGCACTGAACATTGCCGGTACAAAATGGTTCATCTAAGTTCTATTTTAGTTTGTCGAGCTATTTTAGTTTTTAAACTTTTACAATTCAAATTTAAAGCTTTGTACATCAGATCACTTTTTTAAATTACATTCATGTTTTAATGTAAAGTTAGTGTCTTTCACACATTTAAGATTACTGATGAGAGAAAACTTTGAGAGTAAAATTTGCGGTCCTAGTGATTTACAAAAACAAATATTATTTTATAGATTGTGGTGTGTTGGTGTGTGTCATCAGCATGAATAGACTTATAGATATAAGTTTGTTTTAAACATAGAATGATAGATTTTACGTCAACCGACTTTTGATATAATTATACGTGCGTCAGACTCATTTTATTTAATTTAATTTCCTGTATCCCTCTAGTAAACATATTTTACTTTGAATTTCCTTTATCTCTATAATACTTTATACATTAACACATTCTTAACATATTTTCAATCCATCTACACACTTTGCTTTTATTATTATTTTTAAGATAATATAAATAACGCGATTTATTTTATATTCATGACATTTGATATAATTTTCTTAAACGATGTTATTCATACAACTATAATATTAAAGCAATTTTAGTAATTTCTGTATAAATTTTACCACCAAGGAGATTTTTATGTTTTAACTTTTATATCCTTTTTATGGGTAAGTTTTTATTGAAAGAAGTTGTTTGATGTATCGTTGATCGATTGTTTTTTTCTGTATTGTATCAGTATTAAGTAAAACATGTTTTTGTGATATTTAGTAGTAATAATACTTACATGCGTAATTATAAAATACTTTTATAATTAATATTGCATTCAATTAAAATATTTAGAATAAACTATGAATTTTTATAGATTGAAACTGTTTAAATGACAGAAAAATAAATACATTTAATTTTGTAAAATATTCTTCGAAGTTATATTTATAACTTCGTTATAATTGTAATATTTTATTTATAGTTAATAAACACTTGATTGAAGATAGCTTTATTACTACTTCATGTTGGTCTCCATTCTTGTATTTGATGTTGTGAGGGTAGCGCGGAATGTGTACTGCCTCTACCTCGCAGAGCCACTTCCAAACCATCAGCGGGCAGCGCCACAACATACATATTTATATTCAGAAGCAGCAAATACAAGCTTTTAGTATATTGTTAATTAGTGTTGCCATATACATTATTAGATTGATTGCAGTTAGCGTATGCGGTGGTCTTGTGTGGCGATGGCGAGTGGTCGACCACGAGTGCAGTGTCGAGGGGAGTGTCGTAGACGGCATAAGGGTGCTCCGGCTCCCTGCCCCCCACCCCCTCCTCGGCGTTCATGTAGTAGTTGTTTTCCACTGTAAACTCTATCATACTGTTGTTTTGTACAAAGTTTGTAGGGTGCCCGTGCGCCTGATTGCCGCTTGACTGAAATATGAAACTAATCAATGCTGTACGTGAGTGTAGCACTTCTTAATTAGTGTATTTGTAATTTAAAGTTTAGTAATGTATTTACTGGCGACCCGGCCTGACTTCGCCCGAGTGGCAAAGTTACCTTACTAGTTGTTATTTATTTCTTAGTCTTTGTATATGAATGGTACCAATGTATAAAAGTAAAAGTACATCTACGTTACCTTTCTTCTGTAAAGATAAACAACAAAGATGAGCTGAGCAATTACGATGATGATCAAAATGATGACTACTGTCTCTAATATTGGTGCATCTGCAAACAAAACAGTTAATGCACACAGTAAAACTGTTGTAACTTCGATTGTTATTTTGTAAAAGTTGAAATAACAAAGCTTTTCACCATTTAACGTTGTACCCGAGGTTCGGTGGTCGTCACGGTTTTCCACATTAACTGTAACATTTAAATAGTTGCTGCTTGTAACAGGCACTACTACTTCAACAAAATATAAAAAAGAGCTAAAGGTGTCTGATGCGGCTGATAAACGACTTGTTACCTTGGTTCTATTGGGAATTTTTATTATTAGTAAGGAGTTATTATTATTGCGAGGTATTACCGTTTTCAGGGACTGATTGAGGGGACTGCGACGATAGGGGTATCACTTCCTTAACTGTAAAAGAAATACAATTATTTTATATTCAAGATTATTAATACTAATTTATATACTACTAAGAATGTAAAAAAAATGAGGAAAAAAAGCTGCGGGAAAGAAGCAAAAATCAGTTTAGAAAACAGTCCCTTGCAGAGTTAAAAATGTTCAATACGTACATCTGTTGTCGGTTTTTTGACCAAATAGTACTGTCAACTTGGCTATGTTCCCCCTGATGATGCTGTTTCTGATGGCGTAACAATATATGACGCGTATGCCGTCTAGCTTAGAGCTGTGGATTTTGCTCGACACCTGGCAATACTGGTTGGTGCCATTGCATGTTGCGTAACCTGAAAACCTTTGTTTCTTTAAAAAGGCCAAGTAAAAAGAGACTTGAGAGCAAAATAAGTGTTATAAAGAAAAAAGTGAAATAAAACCACAAGAGCTCGGCCTCCTTGCCGGTCCTTAGCATCACCATATCCTTTTCAAACTTTAGTAGCACACATTTTAAAGAATACCCGTTTGTTTGCTTCCTTCTACCAGTACCACAGGATATACCATTTATGAAGCGTACAATAAGTAACCCACAGAGAGGTTAAGTGGTAAACATAGGGCTAACACAGCACTTGTATGTGGTATGTGTATTAAAAAAAGAGGTTACACTTACTATTATGTAAATCTTTTCCGCATAAAACCAATTTATCAGCAGCACGTTCTGTGGTGCAAGAGACGTTGACATCAGAGATCTCGCTGTCGTACTCGTAGGCGTACGTGCCGGCATCAGAATGACCTATCTTTGTCAGTGGCTTCTTATTTACTGTCATCTCTACATATTCTGAAAAACATTTAATTTTTTGTCATCATCATCATAATTAGCACGTCATACGTCCCCATGGAAGTTTTCGGAGCCTACCCTATCAGAAGTGTCTAAGTCTTAGTCAAGCACACTGACGGTTCACTTCACACATCATTTCATCATGATTCATCAGTTGAGTCATGATGTTTTCCTTCACCTCATCTCATTGGTATATTTGGGTTTCGAACCCAGGCCATCCAGATTACAAATAAAGCGTTTAACCCCAGAGCCACCGACGCTTTCACTTTTTTTAGTCGCTATACGTTTATTGATCACTTTTTTATCACAAATTTCGAAGCTGGTTTTTAATAATAATAATAGATAATAATACTCATTTAACCCATTCAAAACATTACAACACCCATAAACACTAGAAATCATATCAAATTCAAATTTAAAATTTACCAATAACAATTAGAACTAAGAATACGCAACTAAAAATAATACATCGCACTAAATTTCTATCTGGTTAGTTTCTATGTTCTTGGTTTAAAAAAAAATCCATTCTGCATATTATCTTACCACTTGATTTGTCATCTAAACAGAACATGTTTGACATTGAGGGACAGTATGGTTCAGCATTGCCACCTACAACATTACAGACACGGTTAGAAGGAAGTGCTGGCAGCACGACAATTCCGCGGGCGCGGTAAACGGTGTTGATAAGGCCCGCTACATACGCTGACAGTTTTACCTGAAACACTCTTAAAACAATATGGTAGTAGACCACCTACCACTGTCAAAACTCTAGATGTGCATTTATGATTAGTATGTGAGCATATACGTACTCCTGTTACCCAATATGATGGTCACTCTGACTTGATCTTTTGGTTTATTTCTATCTCCTAAGTTGCAGAACAATTCTGTATTGTTGTCCATGTCTCGCAAATGAACTCTGTATGATATGAAATCTGTATTGTTGTCTTCCTTACAATCGTAATAAAGTCCATGCCCTATAAAAGTAAAACATACAAAATAAATTGACGCACAATACTTATAAATTGATCAATGTATTAGTAAAAATAATTAAAAGCCGCGGATAAGTGACTATTATTTTATTAACTTTTTTGCACACAAAGAAATATATACAAATTAGGACATTCATGAGAAAAGTCACTGAGAATTCAAGATAGCGTACAGAGCAATAGACGAGTCGCTTCGACGATTCACCGTTGTCTGTACAAGTACATATTGAGTATGTGATAATAGTATTATAAATTATAAATGCCCTTACTGATAGGCGGGTACTTTGTCATTTTGGATTTACGATGCACTCACTTGAAATTGACCACCAGAGTGGTTCTTGTTTCGTGTCAGATTTGCAAGCGATGTTAAGTAAGTCATTACTGAGTTTAAGAACAATTTCTTTATTTTCTTGTTGCAACTCTCTTCCTGTGTTGTCAATAATTCTCAATGCACCTGGAAGAGATTACACAATGATGATAAGTATAATATAGTTAGTTTTATTTAGAAACACTGGAGACGGAAAATGAGGCTATTAACTCAACATTACAGACCGCGACGATTGACAACAGTTAGTTTAAGGAATTTGCCAAAACAATGAAGCGACCACTGCCCACAGGCACTCGTATTTTATAATTCGTTAAAAAAAAACAACAGAAGATGAAATAGGAATAAGTTCGTCTGTACAGAAAAATGACATTCTGTTCCTCTGCCAAATGCTTCCCCAAAAAAAAAGAGTGGCCATGGAATGAGGATTAAAAAAAGGTGTTTGGAACACACACTCGTCAGGCAAAATGCCAAATTGCTTCTTTTTCACGCCTGTCTTCTGTTAACTGCTAATATGTGTTAAAACTTACATGATATTAATCCGACGTTTAAAACAATTATTAAACAGAATTTTGAAAACATGATATCGATATCCTTTGTACTAAACCGTATTAACAAATGACAATTGCTGTGTAATATAATATAGAAACAACGACAGGAAAATGTAATTATAAACCAGGAAAAGTATGATGTAGGTTAATGTTATTTTAACTTTTTTATTGGTCATTTGTTTAATTATTTGAATACGAGGGGGCAGCTACCCCCCCTCCTTGAGAATAAAAAAATTGAAAGACACATAAAAACTACTTTGGATAAGACCATATTAATGGTAGCTAACCTATACCACGTCGTCGGCTGGCGATGTTCAGTTTTTCGATTAATATATGTTTGAAAAGGTGTTTTATTTAATTTCAAAATAAAACATTACGGACTGCAGTTAAGTATTTTATTTCATTATACATATTCATACATTATTACTGTAATATTTTTTTAAAATAAATAAAGCGGAACACGCGTCGAGTGACGTCACCACCGCGTCTCCGCGTCCTCGCAGCCCGCAGCCCGCAGCCCGCAACACGCAGAACACGCGACCTCAAATACTTTACATCCGTTCCTTACTTTGCTTTAACTTTCTGGTAACTCTGAAAAGAAGAGATTAATATTTAATAGTGTTAGTTTACATTTTTTAAATTGAACATCAAATAAATTTCGTTATATCTATGGCATAAGAAAATATTCCTCTGCGAAAATTATACAAATATTCGGCGTGTTACTATCCTTTCTTCCGTAAAAACCAACTCATGTAACTACTCAGTTAAAAAACATTAAAAATTTGATCATTTTAACAAAGAAAGAAAAATTGTAGAGTTGGAGTTGACAAAAGTAATGTTATCAATTTTGAATGTGTGCGTGTGTATGTCACCTCGGCGGCCATCTTATGCAGCATGGCCGCGGTCTCCGGGCCAGTCTGTTCCACTAAGGACTTGAAAATACCCCCATTTTCTGCATTATGCCTAAAAACATGGACAAAAATTTGGTTTTATTAGGAAACATGAGTCTTTAATATGGCTAAAAGTTTTTAAAGCGATTTAAAGGTAAACTATAACAATTACCTATTTACATTATCTTCATCTCCATGAGATCCCAAATCTCCTGACGACAGCAGTTCGAAGGGATGCCCCGATTCCACCACACGACCCCTGGTGCACGAGTTACATCAGTCGCTAATCATCCTCTACTCTGATTTCTCTTAAACATGTTACAATCTACAATATTACACATAATTTGTAATCTAAACGGCAGAAGTTAGTTTGTGTGTCATACTGACTTGTCCATGACGATGACGCGATCGTAGTCCATGACGGTGTTGAGGCGGTGCGCGATGGCGAGCACCGTGGCGTGCGCGAAGGTGGTGCGCAGCGTGGCCTGGATGTGCTTGTCGGTCCTGCGGCGGGGGAGAGAGCGGTAGTGCGGTGGTGGTGTGGTGGTGCGGGGGTAGTGCGGGGTAGCGACGGCCGGAGCACTCACTCCGTGTCCACGTTGGCGGTGGCCTCGTCCAGCACGAGCACGGCGCGGCCGGCGAGCGCGGCGCGCGCCAGGCACAGCAGCTGGCGCTGGCCGGCGGAGAGCGTGCCGCCCGCGTCGCCCACGCGCGCCGCCAGCCCGCCCGGCAGCTGGGCGGCCGCCGCGCGCAGCCGCACGCGCTCCAGCGCCGCCCACAGCTGCGCGTCGCCGTAGCGCCGCTCGGGGTCGAGGTTGTCGCGCAGCGTGGCGGCGAACAGCGCGGCCCGCTGCGGCAGCGCGCACAGCCGCGCCCGCCACGCGCGCAGCCCGCACGCCTCGGCGCGCACGCCGTCCACCGCCACGCGGCCCGACACGCGCGCCAGCCGGAACAGCGCCGCCACCAGCGAGCTCTTGCCGGCGCCCGTGCGCCCCACCACCGCCACCTTCTCCCCGGCGCGCACCCTCAGGCTCACGCCGCGGATGGCGTACACCGGCTCCTCTGCCGCTTTATCACATTCCTCGCCCGCCTTTTTTGGTGGTCTTTCATATTCCACGGAAACATTCTCAAATACAATTTCCCCTGAAAAACAATTATGCTGGTGCTGTTATCATTCGAATATATCGGTGTTTTAGTTTTCCTTATAAAACAATTGCAAGATGGAAGAGAAGCATAAACATTCAGAATCTTCTTGAGAAATGCAAAGGTTCTTTCTCGCCTCTTACAACTACTTACCTTTCTCGGGCCACTTGTCAAAGTCTAAATTCGGATTCTGTTCTTTTAAAGCTCTTTCGTCGATCTCAATATGTTCCTCAGCTGGGAGATTGTTGTATTCTAATATTCTCTCTACCTAGAAAATAATTTATAAAGATTAAAATAGATATAAAGCTTAAGAGCAGTAATCTTTGATTTAATCTTAAAAAAAATACATTTGTTTCTTACTGATGTCATCTGATTCTCAACATCAGCAGTCTGCCTCATTCCGAACTGGCACATGCCCACGAGGCCGATGGCCTGCGTGATGGCCAGCCCCACGCTGCCGCCGCGGTTCTCTGCAACATTTGCAACGAATGAAGCGACCGGCAATGATTTTGAAAGAAGAAACTTTGTCGTCCACGTGTTGTATTCCAAAATCCCAGAGAAATTATGAGCACATCAGGCTCGGTTTGTCGAAATTGTGTGATTGATAGTAAGAATAACTAGTACAGTATGGAATGGTACAAAAAGCTCAAAACAATCTCTGATCGAACAAATCCTCACCTTCACTCGCAAATATAAAGAAACTAAATGTAACGAAGACGAGGTAGAGGCAGCAGACCATATCCATCCAGAAGCCAAATGCCTGGTTAGTGTCGAGCACGAGGGTCCAGGCGCAGCTGTGCAGGTCCTGCAGCTTGTCGAACTCGCGCGCCAGCGTCCTCTGCCGCGCGCCGCACGACCTGATCGTCGTCAGCCCCGACACCGTCGCCGCCGCCTGGTTCAAGCTCGGGCTGCGAGCTTTTAGAACAACCACGACAACATAAATAAATAAACCAGAGTAATGAAGTAATAAACTTCAATAAAAAAATAAGGATACAGATGCATACATATGCATATGACAATTATCATAAGAACAAAGGATGGCATTAAACGTCGCATTCACTTACTGCTTTTCCCTATTTACACCTGGGTAATGTAATGTGTTTCATGTTGCGGGATCAGTCACTATTATTTTAATTATAAAATGCGGACCAACCGATGGCTTCTATCCGTTTCAACTCTCGGCTGGTGCCGAGGAACAGTTCCCGCAGGAGATAGAGCAGGAAGGCCACCACCGCAGTGGGCAGCAGCAGCCACCAGTTAGCTAGGCACACCACTACCAATACTGATACGATTTCCAGAAAGAACTGGAACAAAAGTGATGATATTTCTTTACGAATTCAATAAACCATGTTTTGACGGTAGAGGAATAGATTGAACGATTTACTACTTACACCGATACAGTCTAGCAGAGTGACCGGCAAAGAGGAGTCCACCTGGCCCATGTCCTTGGAGAAGCGGTTCAGGATGCGGCCCGAGGGGTTGTGGTGGAAGAACCACATCGGAGCGTTCGTGACTCCACTGCAAACAATACACTTTTCTTGAAATAAAAGTTATTAAGGATATACATACTTTTTTTTAACTTTTAAAAATGGTACCGGAACATGGAGTCGTGTAAGTTGATGGAGGCCTTGATGCAGGTGTTGTAGAAAACTACCAGCTTGTTCCAGGTAAAGATGATGCTGACGCCGATGAGGGCCGCGTAGATGTAGATGCACTGCTCTCGGCTCAGCTGTAGGTAATTTGACGGATTCTCCGTCGTATCTAAACAAACGTATACACACATGAGTACATGATTGATTACTAAACATTGTTATTGATAATAGGACTCGTGGAAGCATAGACGAATTGTAATTCCTTAAAGTTAATAAAGCGATAAAAACTCAACATGTTAGTATGGCTAAGGATAAAATAAAAATAATGCCTTTCAAATTTAATTTATGTCAGCTTAATACCTACTTTTCACGTGATAAATAAACAGTTATTAATTTGAGTGAACTTACCAAAATTGGGAGAAGTTAAATTCGAAGGCAGATTTTCTAACGTCATATTACGGTTGTAGATGTTGTTAGATTCTTCGAGATTCACCCTGCAACAAATTACTTATTTAATTTAGTAACGTTAAATATCGAGGTTTTTTACATTTTTTTATTATCTACATAGTTCTTTCCACGATTCTTCTTTCGTGCAAATTGATGTTACAGTTACTAATGACGTCTTGGATATTAAGAATGTAAAGAACCTTAACAGTATTCTAGCGATTCTTTAGTAGTCAAGTATACTGTAGTTGTTTTTAACTGAGAGCCTCACCACTCCTTCATCCAGACGTCAGTGCTGGAGTAGAAGACCTGTGCCAAGATGAACAGTGAGAACAGGCAGACCATAGAGAAGGCGCTGCCCCCACTCTTCACGTACGCCAGGTATACGCTGCTGTCTATGGTACCCTTGTTCTGCACCTCACCTGTAACCTCGCCACCTTGTCGGTTAATGTTTCTCGAAACTGGCACGCTATTACAAAGTAGTTACTAGTGAATTAATAGAACTAAAGTTGTTCTGAAATTACCTTCATAATCAGGGTCAATAGGATTCGCGTCGTATGAAATTTTCGAAGTAACTGATAATGCACGTTTGAGACGCGTTGCGTTTTCCTCCTTCTGTAATAAAAACACAAGAATGCATAATTTAAACTATTAGTAGTTACAAATACAGTAGTCATTTTACTGACCAATCTCTCATCGTTTTCCTTTGCTTTCTTCTGCATTTCCTGATCAACTACAACACTTTCGACTAGCTTTTCAAATTCTGGTAGCGTTTCTTGAAGTTCCATGTAAGTGCCTTGTGCAACAATCTGTAGAAATGGAGTAAAACATGTTAAAAGCCATATTACTTGTGTATAATACGCGCCCCGCACGCTCGAGTAACAACACCAACACTCCTCCTAGATCGCCTGCGCCACCTCGCTCGCTCCTATGGAGAGTGCGTGTACGTACCGTGCCGTCGCGCATGACGCACACGTTGTCCGCGTGGCGCGCGAACTGCACGTGGTGCGTCACCAGCACCACCGCGCGCTCGCGCAGGAACCCGCGCACGCACTCCTCGTAGATCGCCTGCGCCACCTACACACCGACAAAACCTAATACATTTGTATAAACAGTTACAGCTGAAGTATTTATTAGCTTGTAGTAGTGACCTTGGCATCGACGGCCGCCAGCGGGTCGTCGAGCAGGTAGAGGTCCGCCTGCTGGTAGACGCAGCGCGCCAGCGACACGCGCGCCCGCTGCCCGCCGGACAGGGACGAGCCTAAACAAATGTGCCGTATCACTTATCAAAGGATTTGGCAGCATAAAAAAGTAATTGCTACAAGTTCTTACCTCTCTCGCCGACGACGGTTCTGTCGCCATGGGGCAGAATCTCGAGGTCGCTCTGCAGTTGGCAGCATTCCAGTACCATCTTGTAGCGCTGCATATCCATCTCCTCGCCGAAGAGTATGTTCTGACGAATCTAGAAAATATAGAATAGAATAATTGTTAGATAAATCTTTAACCTCTGTAATATATTTGAGTTAATAAAAGTAGTTGTTCATGTTACATACGGATGCGTCGAAGAGCCAGGGTTCCTGTGCGGCGTAGGAGAGGTGCGCGGCGACGGACAGCACGCCGGCGCGCGGCGTCAGCTCCCGCAGCATGGCCTGCAGCAGAGTTGACTTGCCCGCACCTACCGCGCCCACCACTGTCGTCAAGGTGCCAGCTCTAATCTGAAATTTGTTTATCATAAAACTCAATTATGTAAAGGCCAATAAGTCTTACCTAATTTCTTCTACATCCAAACAACGACAAAACATAAATTACGAGTATTATACAATTTTTTTAAAGTATGTTAATGTGCCTACTATTAAATTGATATCTGTGAGTGCTGGTATATAGTTCTCTTCATCATCAGAAGACTTCCAGCTAACAGAATAGTCTTCCATCCTGACTAGGATGTCGGACTTTACGCTTTTTGTCTTCAATTCGAATTTGTCTTCATCTGGTGACCTGAAAAATGTTTTTGTAGTTTGTTAATTATTTCTCGTTGTCTGAGTCCTGTTTTCAATAATCCACTGGGGTGTTTTTAACTGACTACTTTAACTTCAGTTTAAATTTATTACAGCAAAGAAATATGGAGTATACTTTTTGTTTGCATAATACTTACTCAGTGTGAACTTTTTCATAGACGCCATTCTTGTGCACCGGTTTGCACTCCTCATTAATACGTAGCAAGTTGACGCCGTCGTTGTTGCTGACCTCTGGCAGCAGCAGGAACTTCTGCATCCTCTTCACACTCACGTACGCTTCCAGCACGAAAGCAATCGCCATCGGCAGGAAATCCACTAGAGTATACTTGAGGTTCTCATAATAATAGAATATGACGAAAACCTTCGCCGCCGTTAGATCGTTATCAAAGTAAATGAAGGTAAGAATGCTAATAAATATGGCAACTTTTGTATTCAATTTAACACAAGACGTCATCACTGCGTGCAACCAGCACATCTTCTTCAATATCTTCATTTCTTGTCTGAAATGAAAAAAGGATACATTTTAAAACAAAATACACGAAAAACAAAATAAAATGCACTAAAAACAAAACAAAATACACCAAAAACAAAATATTCTCAAAAAAAACAGTACAC